TTCTGCCACAGATTCCCTCCCATAGACCGGTACGCTCCCACAGAGTGGGTCTCCTCAGGGTGCCGTCGGCCAAGCAATGTCGGCTGGCGACCCCCAGGGGGAGGGCCTTCTCTGTGGGTGCCCCCACCCTCTGGAACGAACTACCCCCCGAGATCCGGATGATTCCGGATCTCCTTACTTTCCGCCGCGCCCTCAAGACGTGGCTTTTTCAGCAAGCGGGCCTGGCCTAGGGAGGATTTTAAATCGGGTTTTTTTAAAATCGGGTTTTTTAAGAATAATTTTAACTACACAACTTTAAATATTGGTTTAATTTGGTTTTATCTGGTGGGGGTTGTAAATATGTCTATGTTTTTAAATATGTTGTGAGCCGCCCTGAGTCCCGTTGGGAGAAGGGCGGGATATAAATCAAAATAAATAAATAAATAAATAAATAAGAACTGTTCAAAACATGAAATGAAATGTTTTTTCAAAGCTCAGGAATTTGAAAGCCATTAGTAAGACATGACCCCAAAATGTTTTCTTGCTAGAGGAGTATGACAATGGTGCTATTGTTGTCTCCCACTGCTCAGATGAGATTTTACAAGATTTAGGCCACTTCCATTTTTTATTTAAGTAAAAATAATATATGCCTCCCAACTCAAAATCATATGATTAAAGCTCAGAGAATTGGTCATCTATACTAGATGTTACTTCAGGAATGAGTAACATCCCAGCTATTGTCAAGTCAAAAATTCCAATGCCTCATATTATTGACCAAGCTATGGGTGGGGTTGAGCTACAATTTTCAACAGCCCTGGCCAGCACATTCAATGGTATGAGCTGAAAGACACCTTGGACTCTCCAAAACAATTGAATTAATGGATTAAACATCTTCCCTTCATAAGTTGAAGGTGATGAATTATAGATAGTCCTTGACTTACAACTATTCATTTAGTGACCAAAATTAAATGAAATGAAAAAAGTGACTTATGACCATTTTTCACACTTATGACCATTGCAGCATCCCCATGGTCATGTGATCAAAATTTGGATGCTTGGCAACTGGTTCATATTTATGATGGTTGCAGTGTCCTGGGGGGGGTGTCATGTGATCACCTTTTGTGACCTTCTGACAAGCAAAATCAATGCGGAAGCCAGATTCATTTAGCAACCATTTTACTAACAACAACTGCATTGATTCACTTAATAACTATGGCAAGAAAGGTTGTAACATGGAACAAAACTCACTTCACAACTGTCTCATTTAGCAACAGAAATTTTGGGCTCAGTTGTGGCCGTAAGTCGAGGACTACTGTATTAAATCTGTTTTAAATGCCAGATCAATGTGTACATTATTTTTAATGTTCATCTTAAATTGCAAAGTAGGAATGCAACCCATATATTATGGCCAGAATATGGTCATACAAGTAAACTTACTAGAGAATGAGATTTGCTGTTAATGGAATACCTGGTGATAAATTTGACAGTGTGGAACAAAAACACAAATCTGAGTGATTTATTTATTTATTTATTTATTTTATTACATTTGTATCCCGCCCTTCTCCTTACGGACTCAGGGCGGCTAACATATCGAATAAAAATACAGAAATTACAATAAAGTTTAAAATTAGTTAAAAGGGAAATATTTAAGTCAAATTCAATTAAAAATAGTTAAAACCCCTCTAAAATCCCCTAGGCCAGTCCCGCAAGCTG